AGTGCAACCTTTAAAGCATAAGATGAAAGAACGGCCAAGAAGCAAAGCAATTGACTGTCCAAATGCAACTATGAAATTTAGAGCTTTGCCTGAACTTTAGCCAGTCTTAAGGACCAAATTTCAATTTAATTTATTCAAGTAATATGAAAGGGAATGATGATGACAAGACTGGGAGTACTATGTAGGAAAATTTGAGTCTAGGATGTTAGCTGTATATTCTCTTTTTATATTTGGCTATCAAAAACATCTTGGTATACTTAAGACGTGAATGTATTATATAACAGAGTTTTGCAGTGTATTTTCAAAATTAATATATCTGCATATTTAACATGCATTCCAGATAAGAGAACAGATGTCATTATTCCAATGCATAAGGTAGTACTGAAAACATAGTTTGTACATAGAGTGTAATTCCCCCTTAGAGTAAATTGCAGAATGAAAAAATTCAAGTGCGTGCTTCATCCTAGTTTAGAGTGTACACTAGATGGCAGTGTTATCAAAGAATAGCTGTAATTCTTTATTTTTCTGAATATATGCAGATTAAGCTATAAATATACAAAAAGATTGTATTAAACCTTAACCAGGTTATGCCAAAGAAGTTGAAATTAAATCTGTTTACAAAAAATAAAATTTCATCATTTAAAAAAACGATTTTTGATTATGAAAATAATTTTTACATTACATTTTAATGAAAAATTCTGGAAATGTCTAATGTAACATAAAATAAAACAGAAGTTAAAATAGATTTTGGAAGTAGTTTAATCTATGCATAATATTGAATTGCATTTTTTTTCTTGAATAGTTTAAAACAATTTATATTCCACTGATTTTTGCCATTAGTTATTCTGTAAATATATTTTTTAAATAAAGTAAATATTTAGGAGCTGGGTTATCCGTAGCAGTATCAATACATTTTGCTGTTAGATACCACAAGCTTTTATTTTTTTGTTTGTGTGTACAGCATGGAAATCATTCTTGAATTGTGCAGAAGTTTAAAATGTTTTAAATCAAATATTTGGCTTCTTAACTGATTCAACATTATTTCATGTGCTCTTTAATTTGTAAACTGAAAGGCTGTACATGAACCAAATACTTATTAATTCTTCCCATGTACTGTCAGAAAATAGCATGCCTTGGCTTTAAAGTTGATCAACAATCTCAATCAAGATTCAAGAAGGACGAGCAGCTGCTTTAAGATCTGTCATGTTGCTGATTTTGTGATATTTCTTATTGCTTCTTGTTTCTGTGCATAATTTCTATTCACGTGGAAATTCTGGTTATTAGCTTTTCAAAAATGAAACTTCTGTGCTAACAAGCAGCAAAATTTCAATTTTCTGTTTAATGGTAGGGTTTATTGAAAATGTTTCATTTTTACTAAATACAATTTCGACTTAAAATTTGGATCTTAATCTAACTTTTGCCTTTTAATGTTAATTAGTCCTTAAAATGGTCTCATACTTCGTTCAAACGTTAACATGTTCCTTTCAGAAGCGTGATCTTTGCAATTGATAGGAGACTAAGGTTCTCTTGCTGTAACTTCTTACTGTAATTGTGTTATGTGAGAAAGAGTTGGGGTCATTCTTTTTCTTTTTCCTCACTAACTAGTGCAGGGGAGTAGCACCAGGGAAAAAACCCAAACATGCAAATTTCCACCTCTCCAAATGAAAATTGTTTCAGTTACCCCCTTAAAAGTTGAAATTTCTCTTGGTTTTGTGCTAATTTTAAATAAAATTTTCACACATCTTGTGAGTATTGTTTGAGAGGAAGGTAAAGTAAGATTTTAATTTTTTTTTATTTTAGACTATTGATGTCACTACATGTGAAATATACGTCTATATTCACTTGAGAAGTTTTCAGTACTCCTTTTCCTCCAGAATATTCACTGTTTTTCTTAGTAGTTCTAATTTGTCATGATACTGTTTTTTAACACATTGTGTGTTACTGTCACATGTCACTGAATTTGTTTGAATTTATTTGCTTTTTTTTGAACCTAGAGATAACAGAGATTAAAGCATTATTGATTTTTGCAACCATTTCAGAGGACAAGATCTTTAAATGTTTTTCTTCAGATGCACTTTTGTGTAATAATTCAACAGATTGAAGATGATATTGCCACCACCACTGAGC